CCCAGAGAAGTCTGGGGGTTGGATTTAGGAGGATGTTCCTGCCTTCTTCTTTCGTGGCAAGAGGCTGATCAACGCCCAAAGCAAAGCTGGAGGGGTTTGCAACTCTCCTGCTGGAGCCAGAGCTGTGTTGAGCTGGTGTTTGGGTTGTGCTGAGGTGTCTGCTCGTGCTCAGGGTTGCAGGGTGGGCACTGACTGGGTGTCAGGAGGTGCCCGTGGTCGGGATGCAGCTCTTCCATCATCTCCCTGTGCAGCAGCCCTGAGTGAAGCCCATCACTCTGGGGACACTGTTGAAGCAGTTCATTGCACAAAACAGCTGATGGAGGTGGAGACTGGTTAAGGCAACTTGTAAAAAAGAAAAAACAACCTGAAAGAAATGAAGGATCATCAGTGAATTAATGTTGGAAAGGGGCCGTGTCCCAGGTGGAGATGTTTCTCTGCAAAGCCTCGTGTGTGGGTCCCCTTAAAGGTTGGACTTGATCATCTGGGAGGTCTTTTGCCACCTGAATGATTCCTTGGGTTGTGTTTTTTCCCTCTGCTTTGGATGGTGATCCCTTTGGAGAAGGGCTCTGTGCCGTAACTCCATCGTCCTTGGCTGGGAGCTGGAAGTGCTGCTGCACTAAACCCTCCCTGCTGCATTCCTTGGAAGGTCCACTCTGCTGATAAAGCCCTCTCCTGATAAAGCCCTCTCCTGCTGAACCCCTCTCCAGAACTGGGAGCAGCAGGAGGCACTGGCAGAGTAGAGCTGGGCTCAGCTCTGTGCCCAGTCTGGGCATCTCCATCCCAAACTGGGACACGACAGGTGCCCACAAACCCAGCTCTGGGATGAGCTCCTGGGGGTGTTCCCCCTTCAGGAAGTGAGTCCATGGATAACAGTAGTAGAAGCTGGAATATCTGCATAAATACACCTGGAATGAGCCACCAGAGCTGAGATAAAGGGCAGGGCTGGGGGTGGCTGATGGGAGGGAAGCTGCAGAGTTCCCCTTTCCTGAGGTGCCTCCTGTGAGACTTCAGGGTTGGAGAGAATGTGCCAGAAATTCTGGTCGAATGTTGTCTCCTCTGTCAAATAAAAATCCACCTGGAACTTTACAGCACAGGCACTGGCATTGCCCTTTCATATCTTCCCACTTATTCCTGCTCCTGGGCCAAAGGGATAAAGAGAATTGTTTTTGCAATCTGCAGAGGAGAGTTGAGTGTTTTCCTCCTCGTGTATGTTAAATTTTAGATAAGGTTTTTGTCAGTCAAGCCTGAGCTGAACTAACTCAAAGCTGGCAGCAAATTACAGAGTGCAGGAATTCTCCCGGGCTCCCTGACTTCTTCCAGCAGTGTCCAATATAAATGAAGTTCCCTCCTATTACAGCTGATGGGGAAGAGATTATTTCCCAGTTTGTCAGCCCCTTCTCTGTTTGCAAGGAGCAGTTTTGTTTTATCTGAGCCCAGAGCACCTCTGGGTCGACGTCGTGTGAACGTGCAAATATCTCAGTGGATTAATTTGAGAACCTCACAGAACTGGGACCTGTTTTCCTGTTGTATTTTTGTTTTCCTGAGTTGGGTTTATGTCCATATTTCTGGCCTTCTGTGCAAGGATGGTGTGAGTTTATGTTGATTTATTGACCTTGGAAGTGTTGGGAACGTGGTGCCTCTGACCTTGAATGTATTTTGTGGCCTTCCCACAGCCTTGGGAGCTTTGATCCCATCAGGAAACAGAGGGGTGGAGCCTCTTTAACTTCCCAATTTCCTCAAATTGCCCTGATGAATTTAGGATTAAAATAAGGACTATGCAGAAGGGGCAGTTCCAGTTGCTCTGGTTGGAGGAAAGATGGTTTGGTGGGAATTGGAGACAACTGAGCTGGTGGAATTGTTTCACTGCATTTTCACTGTGGATTTGTTTCTGGACAAAGAAAAAAAAAACCATTTTGGGGGCTCAAATCTTTTGCATAATGAAAGGAATAAAAGAATAAAAAGGACAGTCTGCAAATGTGAGAACAAAGTCTGCTGCCTGTGCCAGGCAGGCAGAGCCCATCAGGCATCCCATAAGAGAGGCCAAGGGTTCAGAACTGAGAAAAGAGGGGCTGAGCTGAGCCAGGTGACTGAAATGCCACCTCTGCTGGCAGCATTGGCAGGACAAAAGTTGGTTTGAGGTGAAAAATGCCCAGATAAAAAAGGAGTATTTCTGTCTTGGTGTGTACAGACACTTTTGTGTCCATGTCTAAGGGGGTACAGACACATTTCCAGGTTTTGCTGGAAGGAGGAAATCCTCTCTGAAGGACTTCTCTGGTTTGGGAATGGATAGTCTGTGTCTTACCCTGAGGCAGTTCTGGAGCTGAGCAGACAAGTCACCATGAATAATAAAGTGTCTCCCCTGTTCCTGAGCTACTGGGGTTCATTCACCCCTCTGGGATCAACATCCCCAGCCCTGGGCAGCTTTTCTGGCACTCAGTTCATGTTCTTCTCAGTGAACTCCACAGCTGAATGGAGCTGAGGTGGAGGAGGGAGGTGGATCCCACTCCTGAGAGGGGCAGGTGCCACAGTGCTCTGGAAATGCAAAATGCTCTGGAAATGCAAAATGCTCTGGAAATGCAAAATACTCCCTCTGCCCTGGCTGAGGAATCCTGTGCCTGGCTCAGCCTTAATCCCAGGTGGATTGTGGGGCTGTCCTGGCTCTCATTGAGATAATAAACGTGCTACAAAAAAGATTCCCTGGGTAGTAAACGCGGTGGCCCCGTTTTAGATTCCTAAAGCTGTGAACTTCGTCTGGCAGAGAGAAGTTCCACCCAGCGGTTTTTTTTTTCCGCACCAAAGTAGGTCAATCTAATTATAATTGGCTTTAATGAGCGCTACTCTGCAGTTCTTTACCTGTGGCTGGTTGGCACTCAGAAGTGCAAATGCCTTTGGAGCCTTTGAAAAAAAAAAAAGAAGGCGAGGAGAAATCAAAGAAGTAATTTCTACTCTAATTCATTTCAACTTGAAAGCCTCGGTTATCCACACAGAGGGGGGAGACAATCCAGCAGCAGTGGGAAAAGCCAGAGCAGGGATCAGCAGCCAGAGGATGAGGGTGAAAATGCTTTTGGTCCCACGAGGTTTGCCCTGTGAGCTGCTGGGGTTTGGTTTTTGTGTGTGGAGGAGTCACTCCAGGAAAGCCAGCCAGGGCTGTACCAGTTTGGAGCCAAGTCTTTGTGCCTTTAAAGACACTCAGGGCATTAGTACAGGGAGAGGAAAACACTAAAAAGGAGAATTTGNCACAGGATGAGGGTGAAAATGCTTTTGGTCCCACGAGGTTTGCCCTGCGAGCTGCCTGGGGTTTGGTTTTTGTGTGTGGAGGAGTCACTCCAGGAAAGCCAGCCAGGGTTGTACCAGTTTGGAGCCAAGTCTTTGTGCCTTTAAAGACACTCAGGGCATTAGTGCAGGGAGAGGAAAACACTAAAAAGGAGAATTTGTCATTTAGGCTGTTCCCAAAGCAACATTTATGTACCTGTTTTTCCCCAGAGAGAAGAAAATCTCGTATATCCAGAAATTGTACCTGGTGGCAGCCGATCTTTATCTTGGGGATGGAGCGTTCCCAGGCACTGCTTTGGGGAAGGAAAATGGGTTTGAGGGAGGTGTGGAGTGTTCAGCTGGTGCTGCAGGAGTGGGCTTTTGTTCTCAGAAGATGGAGCTCTTCAGAAATACTGATTGGAAGATGTTTGCTGTGTGCTGAGCCTGCACGAGGAGCAGAAACCTTAAACCTTTCAGGACTCGGTGAGAGGAATCAGCAGCCCCAGAAGGCTGGGGCTGGCCAAGGATTTCTGCCCTGTGTGCCCCCATCAGCTCTAACAGGGCATGGGGTGGTTCTGGTGAGGGCTTTTACTCCAGAGAACTGTTCACAGAGTCACAGAAGAGCTGGGGTTGGAAGGACCTTAAAGGATGGGTTGATGGGGCAGGGCTTGGACTGTGTCCTGCTCTTTTTGGAGCCAGGACAGGTTTAATTCCTGCTCCTTTGCCATTCAGTTTTCCTGCAGCCTTGCCCAGACAGGTTCAGTGGTGACTCAGCTCCTGGTTATGTATGAGGGCCATTCTGGATGCTCAAGGTGAGGGGGTCTCACTGTCTGCACACCGGGTTTGTGTCTCTGTTCAGGGTGACTGAGGGTGAAGGAGACCATCAGCTGTGCCTTTGGCATTGTGGCCTCGTGTTTGAGGCCCCCAGGCTTGTGTTCAACCCCAAAATGCCCAGAGGATGATGAGGAATATGTTGCATTTTGTTGTGGGCAGTGGAGGGGGTCTGAGGAAGCCTCTGTCCCCAGGAACAGGCTGAGTCCAGCTGTTGTTATGTGTGATAAATAATTGTGACTCGTGAAACAAACGGGTGATGACATCCAAACAAAACAAACGGATTGTAAAACTTAATTACACCCCCATAAAGAAATAAAACAGACCCTTACAAGGTCAAGGGGCCCTAAAACCTCCCTACTATCCCGAGAATAAAATATGGTAGAATTTTAAATCTATTTGTCCAAGAATGACCAGTAGAAGAGATAACCATTTAACTTTAGCTGTAAGAAAACCCATATATTAAATACTTAGCAAAAAAACCTGTAAAATGTCTATGTATATGAGATAATTAATATGCATGAAGTAGTTAAGATAAATACTAAATGTAGTAGGTGTGCAGATTTGGGAAGCTTGTCCCATTTCTGTCACCCAGCTGGCTGTGCTTGCTTTTACCAGATAATAAACTCCTATTCAAAAACTTAGAGAGACAAGACTTTGTTTATCACAGATTTCGTTGTGGGCAGTGGAGGGGGTCTGAGGAAGCCCCTGCTCCCAGGAACAGGCTGCATCCAGCTGTTGTTATCCCAGTGGGAGCAGGGATGGGGGCCCGGGGTGCACATTCCTGCAGGAAGGACAGAGCTGCATCTTTGGGTTTTCCCTTCTCCTGGTCCCTCCCACCCCGTGTGTGCTGTGTTTGGGTGTTAAATACGTGTCTGCCACTGTCTGACTGTGCTTTCTGTGTTCTTTTTTGCCAGCCCAGAACTGCAGCCACACCTTGCAGGGCCCCAACGGGACGATCCAGAGCCCGGGCTTTCCCTACGGATACCCCAATTATGCAAACTGCACGTGGACCATCAGTGCCGAGGAGCAGCACAGGATACAGCTGGTTTTCCACTCCTTTGCTCTGGAGGAAGACTTTGATGTGCTCTCCATCTTCGATGGGCTGCCCCAGCAGGGCACTCTGAGAACGAGGTACCCTGTTAATGACAGAGATGTTCCCAAACATTCCCCTGCCTGGGATCCAGCCCGGGGTTGGATGTTTATGCTGCAGTTAAGCTGGGGGTGTTTTCTCCATGAGCAGCTCTTTACAGTTGTTTTGATTTCTTATCTCTGATAGGGTTTGAAATGTTGCTCCCAATGCCTGACAGGAATGATTTATCAGGAGTCATTCTGGGCATCCAGAGAAGTTAATTAGAAACTGGAGCAGCAGGAGGAGGGCAGAGCTGATGTGCAGCTTCCCTCAGTGCCAGCGAGATCCTCGGGGTGGGAGGAGGGTGCTGGGGCTCAGTTGCAGCTCTGCCAAGTGCTTGGAGAGTTTTCCCACAAAATTTGGGCTATTCCCAGCAGCTGGACAGGGGGGATATCCTCTCACATCCAACCAAACTGTTGGATCTTCAGGAGCAAGCAGGTGTTGAATGGTGTGGTAGGAATAGTTTAGGAAGGAAAATCTCCAGGGGTTCTCATGAGACTTTCAGGTATTAATAGAAAGTTTTATGAGGGGCTGATTTTGAAGAAAAAAATCGTGTGTTGCTTTGGGAGCAAATGTTTTATGAGCCATCAGACTCGTGCAGCCGAAGGAGTCGTGATCTCAGAGCTCCACATCTGAGGCACAGATGAAATCAGCTCTTGTTGTCTGATGTGGTGACTGATTTGCAGCTGAAGCCTGACAGTAACACATCCAAACCCTCACAGAAACAGGGGCAGCACCCGCTGTGAAAATCCTGACAGGAATTCTGGAGTCCTGGGAATCAAATTTGCTTCAGGCCACTTGAGTTCAGGACAAACCCACTGACCTCCAGGGCCTTGTCACACCCCAGTGGAAAATCTGAGTTCCACCCTGGTGAAAATCAGCCCTTTCCATAATGATTTCAGTTATGCAAATAAATCAGAGCTTCAGCTTGCAACTGTGCTCGAGAATCTCGTTAATTAGGGGACCTCATCATTTAATCAGGAGGCAGCAAAGTGCTTTGCTTTGGGTGTAATGGAAAGGGAGGAAAATCTGGTGTCAAATTGGGCTCAGGGAGCTTTGTGGTGAGAAGTTAATGCTGCTCTGAGCTCCTCATCAGCCTGGGCTGGCTGTGGGCAGGAGGAACACAAAGAGGCCACAAAACTGAGGTCCAGTGGGGTCCTGCCCTGGGAATTGGTGGCCCTGCACTGGGGGAAGGTGAGGGGACAGGTGAGGTGCTGCCTCTGCATCCCTGGGGACCTTCAGTGCAGTTGGGGACACGGATGTGAACTGTGGGGTGAAACCAGGAGCCAAAGCCATGGGAGAAGGTTTGATGTCCAAGGAGGAGCTGAGGTGCTCAGGAAATGTGTGTTTTAGCACAATACAGGAGAGGGAAATAAAGGGGGGAGATAAAAAGGTCCTGAGGAGGCTTGTGAGAGCACTTGGAGAGGACTTAGAGAAGCACGACAGGTCTGGACTCTGCATGGTGGACTCTTCCTTTCTTCCCCTGGATGTTTCTGGATCAGCAACTTCAAAACCTGGGGTTTGCTCCCCCTGAGTTGTTTCTTTGTTCAGCTAAAATCAGTGTTGGGACAATGCTCCCCCTGAGTTGTTTCTTTGCTCAGCTAAAATCAGTGTTGGGATGATGCTCTTGGGCACGTGGTTGAGTTCTCGGGGTGTCCAGTGCAGGGCCAGCAGTTGGACTTGATGATCCTTGTGGGTCCCTCCCAGCTCAGGATATTCTGTGATCCTGTGATGGTTTTTTTGGTACATCAATCTCCCCTCATTAAACTCTGTAACTGTTGCCTAATGTTGTTTTTCTTTTTTTTTTTTTTTTTATTATTATTTTTTTTTCCTTTCTCTCCCTTCTCCCCCTGACTATCAATTTTGCTTTTTTTTTTCCCCTGCCTGCTTTCCAAATGTACCCAATCCATCACGGGAATGCAGCCCTGGAAGATGGATGGCCACGTGTCATTCATCAAAGCTCAGCTTGCCAGGAGGGGACCCAAAATGAGCTGTGAGCAAGGGCAGAACAAGGGAGAGAACTGCAGTGCTTTGTTTCTCCCCCTCCTGAACTCGTGTTTCTTTTGTTTTTGAGTAGCACTGATGTTTTTCAGCAGTTCATGGTTGTCTGTGAGCTCCTCTTGGGGGAAGAGGAGGATGGTGGTGGTGGGAACACTTTGAGCTGTCTCAATTTCTGCTCTCCCACTTCAGACTTGGATGTACAGGAATTTCCTGGATGTGCCACAGGGTCATTCCTGGGCTGCTGGGAGTGTCCCAGCCCGTGGCAGGGGGTGCAATGAGCTGAGCTTTAAGGTCCCTCCCACCCCAAGCCCTTCTGGGTTTGTGAGAAGGGGTTAAAAACCATGTTCCTGGCAAACCCCCCCGTTGTGCTGCAGTGTAATGTGGTGTGAAGGTTCCCTAATAGAATAAGAGCAGGCCTAATGCAATGAGGCATTTGCTAATAAACAGCTTTACTGGATATTAGGGAATTTGCGTGGCGTGTCTGTGATGAGTTGGTGAATCTTAAATGTGGTTTGGAGGCTTAATTGAGACATCCAGGGCTGTTGTCACCGTTCAGCGCCAGGACTTTGCTTCGTTGGCTGAAATCAGAGCTGGTTTCCAAGGATTGCTGTGGGATTTGGGAGCCCCTCTGCACCTTCCCTGTCCCTGTGACACAACCAGAGAGTTGCTGACAGGAACACCTCCTGCCTTCTTGGAGCTTTTTTCAGCTGCTGATGATTTGCAGGACATTTTTAATGTGAGAACCTTAAATTGGTTGTGGAACCCCTTATTTGAAGTGTCAGGCTCGCACTCAGATCCAGGGAAAACACATTGTAAGTCAGTCCTTCCAGCTCCCTAATTCTGTTTTCCCAGTGGATTTACACAGCAAATGGAACTGGTCAACTTAGAAAATCAGGTTTTATTTTTTGTTTCCTTTCCAGAGATGTTTAAAATCACGTTTGAGAGCCCAAGGGACAGATTATGGGATGTTTTTCCTCACCTGTGAAGCTGCTGAGCGATGCTGGGGCGGCTCAGGGTGTTACAACCCCGTGGGCTTCCCTCCCAGGGAATTGTGTCGTCCTTGGCTGTTCAAACAAAACGTTTCGACGAGACTGAGTTTATTTGCCTAAGAAAATGTTTGGTTTAGCCTGTGGATCAGGGAAAACAAGTGTTCACTGCGGGCAGAGCCTCAGCAGTGCAGGTTGTCTTCCCGGGAGGTGAATATTTATTTACCCAGCTGTGAGGATCCTTCCTTCCCATCCCAGGGATTCCTGGGCAGACATTCCCGTGTCTGCAGCGTGTGCAGGGCTGTGGGAAACGTTTCCAAATCACTCCTGCAAAAAGCTTCACGTTCCCAGCAGAGCAATCCCAGCTGCTGGCACCGTGACCCCCTTGTCTCCCACCCCACATCCCTGTTCCAGTTGTTGGTCCTTATTCCAGATGCTCATCCCTCTTCCCTGACAGGGTGAAGAGGAGCTGCCCTCAGTGTGCTGTGTGTGCAGTTAAAACCCAGATATTTGGCCGTATTTAAGTGACTGAAAGATTTAAGTCTTTTGTTTGAGCTTGGACTGATGAGATGCTTGTGATAAAAGTGGAATTATCCTCTGGGGTGACCCGGTTGCAGCTACACCAGGAGAACCCGTGTCCTGCCTGCTCCTCCTTGATAACCTTTTAATTACTGCTGCAAAAATCAGCCCGGGTGACTTGTGGTTAATTACCAATCAAGAGCACGAAGCTTTTGATCTTAAAAACAGCAGAAGGGGAGGAGGAGGAGAGGGAGAGACAAAAGGAACAGGGAAGGAGAGAATTCCCCCCACCTTCCTCCCCCTGGCAGAGGTGCAAATTTGGGGTGAAAGAACAGGTACTGGGGCTCAAGTCTGTTCAAGAAATTCCTGGAAAACCAGCTGGGAACACACAGGACTGGTGTCAGGATTCTGTGTCCCTCTGAGGTGAGCACAGTTCCTTTTGCTGAGGATAAAGGTAAATAAAGCCTAGGGTTCCTTAAATCCTTTTGTCACCTTCAGTAAACTTCAGAATCCAGCCCCCCTTTCTCCCCTCAGCACAGCCCTTTGTCCTTCCCATTAACTGCCTGGG